AGCAAAACACACCAGTGCAAGAGTTTTCTACCTTTGTAACGCAGTAACACAGACGGAGTCCTCTGAGCCTCGAAGCCATTCTCAAATCCTTTTTCTGAGTTGTTCCTCCCTCATTAACACAGACTCACTGGCCCAGAAGGTTCCTATCTAATCTTTCAACTCAACTCGGCAGCTGTCAGTTTGATCCTGGACAGATAGCTCTTAAAAAATAAGGCTCAATGTAGATATTCTTTAGTAGTTAAACCAACTGCTGTTTGGCTTTAAGAAGACTTTGGGGAGGGAAAGGGGTGAGGAAGAAGGAGAAGGAGCAGAAAAGAATAGGAAAGGAGTGAAATTATTAGGCTAGCAGGGGTTAGTGGATGGATGGGGGCGAAGAAATAGAAAAGAGTGAATGGGGACTTGAAAAGACGGGGTTAGAATAGTTATAGGTCAACAGTAACTAGTTCTATAAAAAATAATGTATATGAAACTCAGTGTACATGCAGGAGACACAATGTATATGAATGACTGTAAACCAGTAAAAATAATACAAAAGAAAAACAAAGAGAAGATTTTGGGGAGTAAATTTAAAGATGCAGATTTCTTATTTTTTAAATAAAGTGATTCCAATACATTTCCAGTCTTTTCATTACAGTCTATCTTCATTGCGAGAATCCTCAAAGCAAGAGGAGTTCTCGTGAACGTGGTCTGTGCAAAGCCTAAATTGTTCGATTTCCTTTTCATAGGACTGGTAAATATATCCAAAAAAGTAAGGCATGCAGTGAGTATTCGCTCCAGGTAAAGCAGAACAAAATGGAATGAGATTTTTAAATGTGAATAAAGAAGATAAAAGGAGAGCAGAAAATCAAAGCCTGACTATAAAAGATGGTCTTTTTTTCCTCAGTTTACACTGTCTGCAGAGAGGCCTTCTTTGAAACATTCCTTTTCTGTGGCTGCCCGTTCAACCGACAACTCTGCCACTCAGAGACCTTTCTGGAGTGATTCTGTTGATAGCTTTTACGTTCTTCTGAACTTGGTGGGAAAATCTTGATCCTTGAAGATTTTGTGGGGTTTTTTTCCCAAAACATTCCAAAGATATACAGAGAATTCAGGGAATTAGCAACTGACTAGCGAGTATACTGGGTTTGTTTTTTTTTTCTTACTGTTAAGTCTGATAATTTATTCTGAATTTTAATAAAATCTCTCTTGAGCAAGGTTTCATTTGCTTGTGTAGTTTTTCCTCACATGTAATTTTAACACTCTAGGAAGCAATGAAGCTGTCAGATACAGATTTAAAAATACGGAACACTTCACCAATTTGCATGTTATCCTCTCGCAGGGGCCATGCTAATCTTCTCTGTATCGTTTTAATTTTAGTATATGTGCTGCCGAAGCGAGCACTGGGGTGGCTTTTTTTAAAAAAAAACCCTATAGATTAATAAAATGAGTATGTATATGAATGTGTGTGTTGTAAACATGTTAAGATACCTACCAGGAACTCTAAAGGTTGGACCATGAGTAAGGATGACAGAGGAACAGATGCCTTTGAGCTATGGTGTTGGAGAAGAGTCTTGAATATCTATCCTAAGGACTGCCAAACACACAAACAGATATGTCTTGGAGAAGGTGAAACCAAAGTACTCCTTGGAGGCAAGAATAGTGAAATCTCCTCTCACATACTTTGGACATGTTGTTAGGAGAAGCCAGACATTGGAAAAATACAATATGGGGAAAGGTCAGCAAAAGGGAGGAAGACCCTCGTTGAGACAGACTGGCATAGTGCCTGTGAGTATACCAGAGAGGATGAGGATGGCACAGGGTAGGGCAAGGACCAGCCCCACTGCTCATGGGGTGACTGTGAATTGTAGTTGGTTGATGGCATGTAGCAAGCACAACAGGAGCTCTGGTGACATAATGGTTAAGCCCGTGGCTGCTAACCAAAAGGCTGACAGTTCAAATCCACCAGTTCTTCAGTGAGAGAACAGACTTGCCAATCTGCTCCTGTAAAGATCACAGCTCAGAAAATTTTATGTGACGGTTCTATGCTGCTACGTGGGGTTGCTCAGAGCTAAAATGACTGGACTCAGTGAAACTCAATGACATCACCACTATAAACGTTCATTCGTATAAATACGTAAACATTTCTTGTGGAGGACTTAGAGCTCTGGTGGCACGCTCCATAGAGAATTCCATTACTAACCAAAACTTTGGTGGTTCGAATCCACCAATTACTTCCCATGGAGACAGAGGAGCCACCTCTTCCTATGTGATTTACATCCTTGGACGCTCAATGAAGGGTCAATTATGAAAACAGACCCAGCACAATGAGTGAAGTGATGTTTGTTGAGATTGCTGCTGCCCAAGCCACGTTGGCCAAAAGAAGAGTTAGATGGCAAGGGACTCTCAGAACAGTCTATCAACTCAGGAGAGGAGGAAAAAGAAGGCCTGGTACACAGGCGTGGACAGTGCTGCCCCTGTGATAGACCCCTTCTGGACCAAGTCGGCAATTGATTCTATGTGTGTTGATTTAATTCCCATTTTGTTTCTGAGTAAAATCTACTGACCCTGTTCTCTCTGTTGTTTAATATAACCATGAACTGAATATGAATATTTTAGGCTTAAGCCTAAAACTTGCTGCTGTGAATCCCATTGTAACTGCTGGTGGTGCCAGGTGTATTGGGGAGAAAGGTGTTCTATAGGGTCCTCAGAGTGTCTTTCCTCTAAGACATTTCTGGGTAGGTTTGAACCTCCAACCTCTCAGTCAGCAGCTGAATACACTAGGCTGTCATAGCGTCCAAAGTAATGAAACACAAAACTTCACTGTAGAAAAGAAGTTTGGCTAAGCCAATCACAGTTAGCGATCATGGAAGAATGAAGGAGGGAGAGTTTTAAGCACTAAGTATAGAAAGAGACATTATTTATTGTCCGAAACATCAAGAAGAAAGGCCTGCTACAGCCTCCTGTTTCCATCATTTAAGATGACTGAAGGCCATTCCCGGGGGATTGTCTCAATGGCAAGACTGTTCAAGGTGGACTGTTCCAGGCTCTTATCCTGGGTCCACCAGTTAAAAATGGCTGGGTTTTATCATCTCTAAAATGGAGATACTAATAAAATTTTCCTCATAAGACTGGAGAACAAACCAAAGAAATGAAGGTAAATGCTTACTCCATTATGGTAAGTACTCAGGAAATCTAGCTACTACGTCTACTGTTGCAATTATTACTTTGCCTTCACTCACACATTTCATGGAAATATCACTAAGCTCATGATAATCGCCACCTTTTTGCAGATGCTTTGCTTTCTTTCTCTAAATTAGAGTCCCAGCTTTACCCTGTTTACGATCTTTTACATCACAAGAAGGCTGGTTGCTGATTAACATTTTCTTGTCCTCTATACAATCATATATAAGGCAAATAAATTGACCTCAGATATGCTCAACGACTTTTTAGACACTAGGATGAAACCTGGACTTGGTAAACATGGAGCCAATACCAAGAAGTGTTAGTTTGTGTAAAGGGTAACACACAAGAAAGGTCATGAATAGAGTGAGCCCTTTTTTGTTAAAAAATAAGCATATTGGTAGATCTACTAAGGATTGCAAATTATTCTGGTTTGAGTTGGCAGGTGTTTTGGTTTTGTTGTTGTTTTTTTTTTAAATCAATTAGGAGAATGAAATGAAACACATGGATAACTGTCTTCATGAATAGTTCTCCCCCCTGCCACAGAACTAGAAGAACTAGATGGTGCCCAGCTACCATTACTGAGCATTCTGATCAAAGATGCTATAAAGTAAACCTGGTCAAAAGGGGGGATAATACAGAACAGAATTTGAAATTATCATGGGAACCAGACGTTTTGGAGCTATTGAGAGTGGATGAATCCCTGAAACTATTACCCTGAGGACATCTTGAAACCTTAAACCAAAATTATCCCCTGAAATCTATTTCAACCCAAACAACAGTTTAGATCATTTAATAAAGATTATCTGTCTTGAGCATAGTGGTCTTTTTAACAACTACTTACAAGACATCAAACTGACAACATCTCAGAAGGTTAGATAGGAAGCTTAGGGGGTGGTGAGTGCATGTTTGTGGGGGAAGAATAATTTCAAAACTAGGATGAGAACTTGGAGAAACAAAGAAAGTTATACAAGTGTTCAGGTCTTTCATTCATAAGGTCGCTAGGAGTTACCTACAACTCGACGGCACTTAACAACACAACCAACAACAGGGTGAGAACGGTGACATATCTTGAAGAATGGAATCAATGCCCCTGAACTGTACCTACAGAAACTGTTGGGTTGGTGGTATGTTTTGTTGTGTATATTTCCAACAACAATAATAACAAAATGTTGTTACTATGTGTCGTCGAGTTTCCTGCTTTTAAAGAATAATCCTATTTCTAAGTGTTTTTTGTTGTTGTTGTTGTTGTTGTTTTTGTTGTTGTGTACTGTCAAATTGGATCCGACTGGCACAGGAGGAGAATGCCCCTCGTCTCCAGCAGAGCATCTGGTGGATTTGAACCACGTACCTCAAGGATTGCAGTGCAGCTTCTAGCCACTAGGCCACCAGAGCTCCCTAAATGCTTATTCTTAAATTGGAGTTTGGAAGCCACATCCTATAGATGTTCTAAGAGGGAATATCATCAGCTGCTGAAAGAGAAGACAGGAAACTAGAGCTTACCTTGCTTCACAGGTGTGGGTGTTATCCTCATTAACTGGTAACTTTGAAGACTTGTAGCATAAAGGATTTTATGTCCTCTGGACTTGGTGGCCCAGCAATAAAGAGATGAACTACCAACCCAAAGGCACACAATTCAGACCCACCAGCTGCTCCGTGGGAGAAAGATGGACAATCTCCTGCCATGCAATGAAGCTTCCTCTGAACACCCACTGGAGGGTCAGCTATGGGGCCGTTCCTATTTGTTCGTACTCAACAACAACAACAACAACAACAACTTGTCTAACTGGTCGTGCCTCCAGGTGTGCCCGCTCCCTGCCTCCTCAGTAGAGTAGCTTTACCTTCACGTTGGAACCTGTGTCTTCAAAGGTGCTGCTGTCCTCTGCGTCCTGGGTAGGCAGGTGATGGTTCCGGCGCAGGCGTGGAGGGGGCCGAGTGCTTCTGTGCACCTGGGGCTTCACATTGACGAGACGCAGCACATTCCTGGCAGCTTCTTCCCAGGTCAGAAGCCCCCTTGGCGGCTGCTCCCGGCTCCTCTCACCAACATACAGAGATTCAGCAGTGCTCTTTTTCCCCATTAAGTGCCCTGCCAACAAAAGAACCCCCCAAACAAAGGTCACAACTTTAACCAAAGGGAATTAGCAAGAAATTTAAAAACACTCTTGTGATTTCTGCACCACTGGGGTAACAGGCAACATCATGATAGATGGAGAGAAGATTGATGTTGTAATAATTCCATATTGCTTGGATCCACAGTCAACATGCTTGGTTTGACAGTAGTCAAGAAACCAAAAGAAGCATTGAATTGGAAAAATATGCTGTCAATGACCTCTCCAAGGTGTTAAAAAGCAATGATGTCACTTTCAAGATAGATGCAGCTGATTCGAGCCACAGTCTTTTCGATTACTTACTATGCATCTGAAAGTTAGACAGTGAATAAATATGGTAAAAGGAAAAGCAATGTTTCTGAGACCCCAGAGTGCTCCTGAGAGGCAAAGATGGTGTCACTTCATTTCACATATAAGGGACGTGCTACGAGAGGTCACGCCTTGGAGAAGGAATCATTCTTGGAAAGGTGAAGGGTCAGTGGCATCATGGTTAAATGCTCAGTTGCTATTTGAAAGATTGGTAGTTCAAATCCACTACCAAGAACTAAACCGAATCCTCTTAAAATGCAGGTACAGCTTCCTCTTAAATGTAAGACAAAAGACTGTTTTAGTGTTAGGAGATGATTTGCAAGTGACTGGCTTTCCTCTCTGTTAAAAATCACGCAGTGAATTGGACAGAATCCAGATTAGCGTTTTTGGAGCCCGGTCCAGTCCAGCACTGCCATTAACATGCTGGGTGATCTGTGTCAACTCTTGTCACCTTCCTACACTTCAATATCCCCTGTGATGAAAAGAACAACCCACACTAGATGAAACCCTAGAGAATCTTCCGTCCTGAAATTCTATCACCCATTCTGGGTGCACAGAATTCTATTCCTAACTTGAAAGACCGAGCTTAAACATCTTCCCCAACTAATTGGGAATTGTAGCTGAATAGAAAAGTTCAAATACATTTCTTTGTGCACACTTCAGGAGGAAAATACTGTTTACCTCTTATGTGTAATACTGATGTACCAAAGGAATTTTTCCTTAAACTTTCTTAGAATTTTCACTAAGATTGGATTTAGGAAGGTTCCCCTCAAAGCGACAATTTATTAAGAACCATAATGACAAAGAGTTACAAGTTCGGCCTGCTCCTTCTCAGCCCCTCGCTGCAGAATTGTTTCCTTTGGTGTTTAAGTGGAGAGTGATGCTCTAGATACAGCTTTCAGGGACGTGGCGCAGCCAGAGGAGGAAGTGAAAGCTACTGTTAATGAAGCCAAATGAGCAGAACCATGGAAATTTGTGACCATGTGGGGAATACAGTGTCAGAAAGAGGTCTCCATTCAGAATGTGCATCCTCAATGCTTCAGCCACTGCCTTAGCATGCTCACATTCTTGTTTTTTCCTTTTTTTTCTCGTTTATTTTTTTTTCCTCCCCTCCCCTCCCGTCTCCTCCTCCTCCGCATGCTCACATTCTCATCCTTTCTCTAGTTGAACTGGAGAGCACTTCTGAATACCTGACATTAGGAAATCTTTGATATTTTTGATTGACAGCTCACAAGGAAAGAGCTCCTCATGGCTCAGTGTTGTCAGACTTTAGAAGTTTTTAAGGCAAGTAAATAGGAAGTTGTTCTGACCACTCAAAGGTAGGTGGTTCAAATCCACCAGCTGCTCCTTGGGGAAAAGATGGGCAATCTCCTGAGTGATTTACAACCTCTGAAAACCACTTGAGGGGTAGCTATGAGTGGATTCCAACTTGTCGGTCACTAGGTTATTTTTCATTTTATTGTTGTTGTTATGTGCAGTTGAGTTGCTTGTGACTCATAGCAACCCTATGTACAACAGCCCTAAACCCTGCTCTATCCTGTGCCAGTCTCACTGCCTCTGACACACCCATCCCAATTACCCCAGTTACTGAATCAATCCACCTCATAGAGGGTCTTCCCATCTTGCACCATCTCTCCGCCCTCCCAAGCATGATGTCCCTCTCCAAGGACCTCTCTCTCCTTACAACATGTCCAAAGTGTGTCAGACGAAGCCCCAGAATCCTTGCCTCCAAGGCCTGGTTTAACCCTCTCCAGGATGAATCTGTTTGTCTTCCTAGCAGTCCGTGGTACATTCAGTACTCTTCCCCAGCACCACAGCTCAAAGGCATCAATTCTCCTTCTATCCTCCTTAGTCATTGTCCAACTCTCTGATGCATAACAAATGATTGCAAAGACCATAGCCTGTATCAGATGCACCTTAGTCTCCAGAGTGACACCATTGTTCTTCAGTACCCTTGAGAAGTCCCTAACAGCAGACTTTCCCATTGCACTAAGTTTTTTTATCTCCTGGCTGCTGGTGCCAAGAGTGTTGACCATGGAGCCAAGCAGACTAAAGTTGTTAACAATCTCAATCTCTTCACCATCCATCCTGATGCTGCCAATTATGCCGAAAAAGATTTGAAAACCCTTCTGTCACTGTACACCAAAAGGGAATTCTCTTTCAAAAGTTCTGTCTACCATCAGTGATTTCCTTCCTGCAACTTGATTCCTTATATACGTATTTTAATATTGTTGTTGTTTCTGAGACTATACACAGCAAAGCATACACCAACTTAAATGTTTCTAGACATACGACTTGGTGACACTTCATGTGACATTTTTCCAATGTGCTTTATTTATTTATTGTGCTGTCCCCCTTAACTCACTCCCCTTTACTGAGCCGTCTGTCTCTCATTAACACCCGCTCCCTGATCCATCCCTAGCGGTGGTTATTATCTAATCTTTTGAGTTGTTGGTACCAATTTGATCTCCAACAGATTGACTTCAGAGATATTTGGTGAAAAGTGCTGATGAAATCCCTTTTTTTTTAGGTAAAGAGGTGGGTTTGTTTGTTTTTTTTAAACAAGAGAAGAATTTTCTAACTAATAACTGTAATAAGATCAAAGATTCATGTGGAAAAACTGACAGAATGAGCAGATCTCATAAAAATGTTGGCAGATGACTATCTCCACACTTCAGCCTGTTTTAGAAGAGCCTACAATCATCTAAAAGTACCTTTTGAATGTTGATGAGCTATTTGAGAAACTTAGAAAAGTAGGAAACTGAGTCTCATCAGATGAAGATTTAAGGTTGACTGAGCTGCTCTAAACTACATGCTCAACATAGAGGCCACAAGGAACTCTTATGCAGACGTAGCAAAGCCCTCGTTGACTATGAGAACTCAGACAAAGCTTTGGATGAGGCCTGATTAAAAGGCAAAGAAGTCAAGCTGACAGAGGCATGCCAGCAGGAATGCTGCCAGAAATTTGGACAGCTTTCTGGATCTGCAAAAGAACTGTTCCATTTCAAATGGAAGCGAATGGCCGCATGTAAGAAGAATCTAATTTAAACGTCTCAACTGGAAATGAAGCATGCCAAGAACAAAGCTTCTCTCTTACAAAGATGAACTTTCAAGAACTTTTCAAAGTTGACTTATTCAAGAACAACTGATGCACCTTTATTCTGAATGAAGTAAAGGAAATAAGCAATGTGAAAGCCAGCATTACTTACACGCAAATCATTAGCCATCAAAGATTTACTTAGTTTAAGATAATTTGAATAAATATTTCTACTTCTAAAAAACCTTAACACTTAAAAAAATGTGTAATGCTTAAGGCAATGTTCTTACTACTTAAACTGTTGTTTGGTTTTGACAAGATGTCAGAGGATATTTGCGGTCTAAGGTGTAGAGATTTTTCTCAAGGCAATACATTAAGGGGCTTATCCATTCCCCATGGTTCCAGAAAGTCTAGAATCCAGGAGAATATTAACTTCTGTTCTGTATCTCCCTCCTGTTGATCAGGATCCTTCTATAGAGTCTTTGGTGAAGATGTAATGGTAGTAACAGTAGTCGGGCACTATCTAGTTCTGCTGATCTCATGATAAAGGAGGTGATTAATTAGTCACTCATTCCAATTCTTCCTCATTTTCCAAACTTACTTTCTTCCTTTGCTGTTCCAGGTGAATAGAGGCCAACAATTGTGCCTTGGATGTCAATTTTTCAAGCTTTTCAGATCCATACACTACATGACAAATTAAGCCTACAACAGAAGCACTAAACACATTGCTGGGCCAGTTAACTGAAATAGTCCATAAAATCATGACCGTGACCCTCCAGGCAAGCAACCAAAACCTATGAGGTGTTGGTGTTGTTGTGTACTGCTGAGTCAGAATCAACCTGTAGCTGACTCTGCGGTGGGTTTTCAGATGCGGTAAATCGCACAGGAGAAGCTCCCACGGAGCTGCTCCCATGAAGCAGCTGGTGGATTCGAACCATGTGCCTTTGTGTTGGCAGCGCAGCTCCTCACCACCAAATCACCAGAGCTCCCTTATGAGGTGCTGGGCTGGCATGAGCAGCCTCAGCAGCTACCACTGTGTTATCATCGTAAAGGTATCTATTACACAGAGTTTGCTAAGTCAACGTTTTACAAATTCACAGCTCATCGACAGCAATTATATAATAAGGGTCTGTGCAACGTGGTCCTCCCCCATCACTAAGAACTGAAAGTCAGTGCTCCATAAGCTATGTAGTGGCCTGTGTATTGAAACTGAGAGTCCGCAGGATTTCAAATGTGCATTGTTTCATTTCACACCATATGCTGAGTGAAAACACTTGTCAACACTTACACAAGTTTGAGCAAAGGATCGAGACCAGCTCACTGCTCAGACTCTACTATATTATGCTGCCTTCAAGTGTCCTTTAACTTCCTAAGAACGTAATAGCGTTAAAATTCAGTCTGCAGTTGAGATGTGAGGATATGAGCTGCAAAACGCTTTGAAAAGAAACCAGGGTCAGATATCAGCACAGCATGACTCGGAAAAATACTTCCGTGGCTGTTGTTGCTGTTAGGTGCAGTTCAGGCAGCCACAGTCACAGTGACCCTATGAACCTTGCTCTGACTTGCATCATTGCCACAGTCTCTGCCACATTCAAGTCCATTGGTGAAGTCACTGTGCCCACCCACCTCCTTGAAGGTCTTCCTCTCTTTTGCCTTCGAATTAGATTTGCCTCCACAGGCATGTAACACACAGCTGGCAGGTTGCTCGTGACAGGCCAGGATTTCAGTGACCTGCTGAGAACGCAGGGAACTTTGGTGGCCTGGTGGGTACGGAGCGGTGCTTCCAGACCAAACTCGGGCACTTCGTATCCACCAGCAGCACTCAGAGAGAAAGGTGGGCCATTTCCTCTCATGTGATGTAGGCTCAGTTGTTGGGTTTTTTTTTATTATTATTAAATTTTATTAGTTTTAATGAACATTTACAGAGATTTTGGGTTTTCATTCATTCATTGTTGCATTGTTTTCTCTACCCTCCTCCCCAGTTCGTTCTTCTCCCCCGCCCCCGAATGTCTGTTTTAATTGTCCAATTGTCACAGTGCTTGTTGAGGCCAGTTCTGATTAATCTCCTTTGTCAGTGTGTCCTTTGCCATTCCCTATCACTCCTCCCTGAGAGAGACTTCACCCTGATTCATAAGGAAAAGGGGATGGCGTATTTTCTTAGCTACTTCCTGCTGAAAAGGGTCGCTGTGGGTTTCAGGGTGAAGATCTTCTCTCACTACTCTAAAGGGCCCCTTTGGCAGTAGGAAACACATAGACTATTATGGAGATTGATTTTGGAATTTAGATGCACTGTTATCAATTGTGCTTAGCCATTCATGTTCATATCCTTGAAGATGTGTAGGCTCAGTTTTGAATCCATTCCAACTCAACGACAATGAAAGTGAGAGACTAAGAGAGAGGCTGAACTGAAGGACTAGAGTCCTGAATGATTCACTCCTGAGACATTTGGTGTCTCTGTGTCCATGCAGTAACCGCGAATTCAGCCATCACCGTGATCATGTTACACAGCTTCCTGCAAGTAGTGAGGCATTTGGTTCTGTTTCTACAGAGGAAATCGAATCACAGACATAGGAAGGCAAGAATCAGAAACCCGGACGCTTCAGGAATAATCCCTATCCCTCTCGCCCTTCCTAATGCCTTGTCATCTCTTCAGGACACGGCAAATGGGAACGTAAAACAGAGGGGACATGGGGCTGTTCCCACAAACAAGGACTTTGCCCCTGCCAGCTCTGCATAGTTTGAGGCATTTTCCCTGAAACGGAAGGACAGAGAACTCCTCCAGCCGTGACGGATCTAAGAAGGATCTTGTTGTTGTTGTTGTTATGTGCCGTCGAGTCGTTTCCGACTCATAGTGACCCTAAGAAGGATCTTAGAGACCTGAAATGAATTTCGGTGCAATATTTGCATGTTGAGGTGAGTAATGTCTACCTCCAGGACCCACAGACCTGTTATTAATAAAGAAAATCTCCTCTATGACATCCACCAAGCACACCCTCTCTGGCGCCTACTTCATTGTTGAGCTGGCGACTGTCCACCAATCGTCTCCATGGCAACATGGATGTGATGCCCACGTCTATGTGTCCCCATCCCTATTTGTCATATGTCCCATATTGTAATAATTGGAGCTCTCAGAATTAGACAAAAAGGCACTTGAAAAAAAAAATAAAACCAAAACAACACAACTTTAGCTGGAAATAAAAGCTCATGTCCTTTTAACCACTTAGAGATACCACTCAAGGGCAGAGTTGAAGCACAAATACAAGTCCCAAACTTGAAAATGATCCCAGTTTAGGAAGTAGATCGACCTAAAGACTATAACAATGGGTACAACAGAGACGGGGAGGGTGGCACAGGTCGGAGCAAGGTTCCATCCTACAAAATACACATGGTACTATGTGGAGCCGATCCCACAGCCCCTGACAACAACGAGCAGCATGAAAACCTAGATGAAAGCGTGAAGCACTTTAAGAACTCATCCAACCGGAGTCACCTAGACCCCATCTCACAGGTTCTGAAGCAGGTCAAACTGCCCACCATCTGAATGGTTATTGTTTCAGAATTCATCCTGTAGAGAGGCGTCTCATATTAAAGTGTCAGCCGTGACTGGGACCATCCCACAAAGTCCAGGAAGGGTTCATCGCTGTAAAGCTTTGACATCTATTTTCACCTCTCAAACAAAACATTTTCACTACCAGCCCTGCCAGATGTGAATCTGCTACGTTTCTAAGCTGTTACCAGTCCTTTTCTGAAATGCACACTTCTCTCTTCTGAAAGAAGACATTCCTTCCCCAACCTGCAAGTGAGAGCTCCCAGCTTCCTCCTGGAATCATATGTGTGGATTAAGAGCAATATAATGACAACTACATTGCATGTCTTGCATGATTCGGGGACACACGTTCACTCAGGATGGGTGGAGGCTAAATCTCATCCGGCAGCGTCATGCCTTCTTGTAGACGTTCATATGTCAGCAGAGGGCATGCCTCCCCCAAGCAAACTGCATCTCGCTCACAGTTTCTCAAGGCCCACAGGAATTTTCTGTTGCCCTTCCCACTCTCTCTTGCTCCTCCTCAGCTCCACCCAGCCAGCAACAAGAGAAGAAAAGAAATTAAAGAGTAGGAGAGTAAATAAGGAAAAAGAGTACTAGAGGCTGGGGATGCCCCAGTGCCACCATGAAGGGCGATCAAATGTCAGATCTCTAAAATTCTGGGGCCAGCCAAGCCCCAGAGTCCCAGCAAATCTGGCTCGCCCAGAAATAACACGTCCCTTGCTTCTCAGCAAGGAACCCAGGGGGCGCAGTGGATAAGAGCTCAGCTGTTAACTGAAATGCTGATTGTTCAAATAAGACTGGCCAGCAATAGTTTCCCTGTGAGCCCTCCTCCTCTCTTTGGCATGCAATAATTGCCTAATAATAAACTTCTTTAATACAACAATGAGAAAACGCAAAAAGAGGGCAGAAGTCTCAAAGTTTCATCCCACTTTTTCAGCCCACTCACTCACGGCACCAGGAAATGACAACTATCTCTAAACCCCCTTAAAGTCCTTTTAAAGAAAAGTGTCTGCCCCCATTCTGGCTTCTTTGAGGCCTCCTAAATGCTATCTCTCGGAAATTCTGGCATCTTCAGCATCACCTGTCCCAGCCCTGCCCTGAACACCAGACTCTGGGTTCACTGTGTCCCCCATAAATCACAAGTGCTAGTACCCCTAAGTCTGCCAGGCTTGGCAAAGAATTCTTTGAACGATAAGGAAGAGTGTTCTATTCAAAGGTCTGGATTCCCCTGGTTCTGATGGAGGTAGACACAACACAGAAGAAACGTGAGCCAGGCTGTTCCTGACCCTGCGTTCCTCTTAGGCACCAGCCACCTGTGAGTGGCTGACATCTGAATTAGCAGGTACTTTTCCAACCCATCCTCCTCAGTTCCTAAGCAGATGAGCCGGTGACCAAGGACATAGTGTCTCTCTCTCTCTCTCTCTCTCTCTCTCTCTCTCTCTCTCTCTCCCTCCCTCTCTCACTACACACACACACACACACACACACAGACACACTGCCTTCTAGTTAGATTCCCAAGGACCCTGCAGGAGAGAACAGAACTGCCCCTCAGGGTTTCAGGGCTGTAGACCTTTACAGAGGCTGTCAGGCAGCTGCTGGTGAATACCAGCTACAGGGCTTTCTGGTAGCAACCGAGTGCGCACCACCAAGGCTCGTTACACACACATATCTCTCTCTCTCTCTCTCTCTCTCTCTCTCTCTCTCTCTCTCTCTCTCTCTCTCTCTCTCTCTCTCTCTCTCTCTCTCTCTCTCTCTCTCATATTAGAGGGTCCACAGCTTCCCAGAGGGTTAGTTTTGCAGGCGTGGGGATGGAGATATATTCTGAACTTGATGTTTTGCACTTGCTGGGGGTGATGTTAGGGGGCGCAAACGGGGCCCCTCCTTGTCTCCCAGTTGCCCAAAAGCTGAAAATCTCGCTCTTTGGGGACAGGGACTAGGGACCTTCCCAGCCTACGTCGGGAGAGCACGAGTCTTTTTGGTTGATGGGTGGAGAGGGGAGTTAAAGGAGGGGCAAGGTGGAGAGGAGAGTTTCAGGAGGGGCGGAGTGAGAGGAGAGGCGAGGTGGTGGGTCCAGGGATGGGAGAGGAGAAAGGCTCCCAGGGCGCAGAGCAGACGCAGGGACAGCCTGTTCCCGATCGCGGAGCTCCGCGTGGAACTCGCTCGGCAACCGGGGGCGCTTATGCACAGGGTAGGGGACAGACAGTAGCTGCGTAAAGAAAAGAACCGAGAGAACTCTGTCGCGATTTGAAAGCCGGGGGAGGGGCCTGCGCCCGGTCGGGCACCTTGGCTGCTCCCCCTCGCCAAAGGGCCCCTGGACGCCAAGCCAGGGCGGAAAGTGAGGCCACCGGGGACAAGCGCGGAACCCCGCTTCCCAAAGTTGTCCACGAAAGAGCCGCAGACAGGGTAGGGTGGGCGCAGGGCAGGTGCGGAGGGAACGTGGCCTCCTCTGCCAGGAAAGGTCCAGGTGGCGGCTCACAGGTTTGGGGATGCGGGTGGCAGGACCACCGACCGACCGCGCTGCTGGAGTCACGCCTGAGGCCAGGGAGAGCCCATGGGCTCCCGGAACTGGGGACGGGTGCCATGGAGTTTGGGGAGAACGCGGTGGCGCTGGAGTAGAAGGGTCATCGCACAGCAGCACCCCACGATGGGGCCCCGGGGCTGACCCGGGACGAGTGCGCGGGGACACTCACCCACGGCCCAGTGGTTGCCGCGCGGGTACATCTTGGGCAGCACGGGGCCCCCGGCGTCGGACGCGGACGCCGTGTGTCCCCGGGGCGCGGGGCAGAGGACCAGCGCCAGCAGGACGAGCGGGAGCTCGCGGCCGCACATGGTCCTGCGGGAGCGCGCGAGGCGGGAGCCGAGGGGACCCGAGCGCCGCCCCCGCCAGCCGCGCTTTATATGCAGCCCGGGCGGGGCGGGGGGCTCGGCACCGGCCCCGCGCTCTGACGTCTCCCGCGTCCCCGACACATCCATCTCCCGCCGAGCGATGACAAGGCCCGCAGCCCCCGGGGCTCGTCCTCCTCCAGAGCCGCGAGCACTGGAGCGCACGCCCCCCGCTGGCCACCCGCACCTCTCCCGGTGTCCCGCCCTCGCCACGGGGCGCGATGGGGCGCGGTCGGCTAGGAACCCCTACACTGGGGAGCGGGGCGTGGAGAGACCCTTCGTAGTCTTCAACCGCCCCAGGATGGAGCCGGCGGCTCCAGCAAGAAAAAGGCCTGGCAACCTTCCATAGAGATTGCAGCCATTTGCCTCTGTTAATATGCGGGATCCCACGAGGCTGTGGAGCCTCCACGGGCAGTGGGTTTGTGCGTGTTTTCTGACCCTCCAAGGACCACTTCTTACCACCCAAAACTCCCTCCCTGAACCCATATCTCCACCCCACCCCCACCAGCAGCGCCCTAGAACCTCCCTGGGCTTTACAAAGCTGTGGCTGCCCGCTTGTGTGAGACCACGGATGGAGCAGAGAGTATGATGAGCTTGGCGATCAGAGGGAATGGTACTTTCACGACCCGACTCCCTCCTTCCACGAGCGTCCACATGATGGATGAGGACGCCGCGCCACAACCACTTCCCTGGGCTGTTCCACCAGCGAGCCCCACTGTGCCTAAGTGTCTGTCACAAACCTTGCTGAAGTCCCTTAACTATTCTCTGTTGTTTCCAAATATGAACTGTTCATCGACTCAACTCCTGAGGTTCTAATGCCCCCAAAATAAAGAGCTGGGCAACCTATCAATACAGCAATAAGTAGATGCTGGGGGAGTGCTGTTGGCCACGTTTGGCTGCAGGAAGTGTCGATGCCCTTGGGTGGCTGCAGGCACTTGGCACCAGCAGTGCTGGTGAGCACCAGGTCAACACAGGGTTGTGTGTGTCAAGGAACTTTAAACTCCACACATGCTTTGTACTTCCTAGTGATTCAGTAAGTCAGCACCATTCTCAATGCACGTGCACATTGTGTGGCTGAAGGCTCTTGGACTTGGAAAGGAATTGTGGAGATCACTCTTCTCAGCTGAGGAAATACAGTCATATCATCCTGAGGTGATGGTCCAAGTGAAAATCAAGAGAAAGCCCAGGCTTGGCCGAACTGCTGCTCCCTTAGGGGTAATCCTTACAATTCCGTAATCCTCACAGAAGCGAAGGGACACAACTTGCTCCCTTGAGAGGCTGATGGATTTGAACCTCCAGCCTTTTGGTTAGCAGGATCACAGTGATGCTCACTAAGTGCCTGGCTGAGCAGAGGAATGTACAGGTCTCAGCACTTTTGACAACTCCAGGCTTTTGGGAGAATTTTAAACCCACACCAGCTAAAAACTCATGCCACTTCTCACTAATTTAACCAGGATTGTTTTAGAAACTTTTACGTTGAATTATCCCTGCAAAACGCAGGGGAAACACTGCAAAACCACTGACCATTCTCAACTGCTTCCTCTCCTCTGGCCTGTAGCTGCCCTCTCAGGTGACCTCCTGGCCTAGATGCCTGCTCTTGGGCCCTTGACTGACACTGCTATGGATTGAACTGTGTCCCCAGACCTGTGTGGACATGCTCTAGGCCATTGTCATCCACTGCATCTTTCACATGACTTCTAATTTAGGGCGCTATTCTTTCACAACCATTGGGGTAATACTTTGCCATTTTTTTTTGGAAGCAGATCACCGACTTTTCTTGCGAGCCTGCCTCAGTCTTCAAGCTCTGCTGACGTCAGTCCAGCTGCTGGAACCAGAAATCCTAGAAGCTTAGATCGCAGCAACACAGAAGCGTGCAAGTCACCTCAGCAAGACAAACCGTCAAGCACTCCTGGGGTCCAAGGAGGATGTCATGAGGTCATGAGTCTATTAACCAAAAGCTGCTTTTGTGATTTATATTCATAAAATATGGAGAACTGTGAGTAGGGCAATAAGGAGTCCTCATGGTGCAATGACTAAGTACCTGACTGCTGACTGAAAGGTCAGTGGTTCAAACCCACCAACTGCTCTTTGGGAGAAAGCAGTCTGCTTCTGTTAGGATCGTTTCTGCTGGTAGCTTTGACTCTGAGTTGCAGAGTGTCTGTGTATAACAGGTGGAAACTTCGCCCTGCCTTTCCCCACCCTGACAATCTCCCTCCATTGAAACCCAGTGCTGTGGTCATCACGTCACTGTAATAACTTCAGCCTGGGAAGACCTGGGGGGCAGTTCTGCTCTCTGCCTGTCCTACAGGGTCACTATGAGCCTGAATCAGCTTGATGGTAACAGTAATTGTTGCTGTTGTCAGGTGCCATCGAGACAACTATGACTCAAAGCGATCCTATGAACAGCAGATCTGAACCTTGTCCTGTCCTGTGCCATCTTCAGAAGCTCCAATAGGCTGAGCCTGTTGTTACGGTCACTGTGTCCATAGGACATAGAGATTTCTGTCTTAGAATGTAAGCTTTGCGATGGCATCCTCCTCATTTAGTGCCTAACCAATGCCATGTGTACACTCAATCTTTCGAGGAGGTGTCATACATAGAATGTGTCTGTACCGGGTTGTTTTGTGGAGCCTTCATTTGACCTTCACAAGTCGCCCAATATCAGATGTTGTTGTTAGGTGCTGTCCAGTGCTTTGGACTCACTGTGACCTTATGTACAACAGAAAGAAACATGCCTGACCATGTGCCCCCCCAGTCACTGCTCTGCTTGCGCCCAGTGTTGTACCCAGTGTCCATTGCCCCCGTGAGGGCCTTCCTCATTCTCTGACCCTCGACCTTACCGACCATGACGACCTTCTCCAGCAATTGGTCCCTCCTGACAACACGCCCGAAGCACAGACATGACATTTTATCATCCTCGCTTGCAGGGCACATTCTGGCTGTGTTTCTGCACCACAGGTTAAATGCAATCAGTCCCATTGTGTAAATGAGTACACTGAGGTTCAGAGAGAGGAAGCGAATGTTACTTGGCACCCACCCAAACGATAACTGGCAGAGCCAACCCTCCACCTTGGAGGTTCTGATCCTGAACTCTGAGTGTGGAGAAATCCACCAAGAAGTAATAATTCCTTTGTGAGATTAGAGTTTCTTGGAGGATTGACAGATTTCATCCTTCAGGAAGTGTAAAGTTGATATCAAAAGATATTTTAAAACCAGTCCTGGAAACAATTTCTAGAGTCCAACAGCATGTTGTTGTTATGTGCTGTCAAGTCGTTTGCGACTCATAGCGACCGTATGTACAACAGCCCTAAACCCTGCTCTATCCTGTGCCAATCGCACTGCCTCTGACACACCCATCCCGATTACCCCAGTCACTGAATTAATCCATCTCATAGAGGGTCTTCCCCTCCTGCGCTGTCCCTCCACCCTCCCAAGCATGATGTCCCTCTCTAAGGACCGGTCTCTCCTTACAACATGTCCAAAGTATGTCAGACGAAGCCCCAGAATCCTTGCCTCCAAGGAGTTGCTTGGTTTAATCCTCTCCAGGATGAATCTGGTTTTTCTTGGGAGTCCATGGTACATTCAATACTCTTCTCCAGCACCACAGCTCAAAGGCATCAATTCTCCTTCTGTTCTCCCTAGTCATTGTCCAACTCTCTGATGCACACCTTAGTCTCCAGAGAGACACTGTTGTTCTTGAGTACTTTAAAAAGGTCTCTAACAGCAGACTTTCCCAACGCAATACATTTTTTTTTAATTTCCTGACTGCTGGTGCCAAGAGTGTTGACCATGGAGCCGAGCAAACTGAAGCTGTGAACAATCTCAATCTCTTTGCCATCCATCCTGATGCTACCAATTGGTCCAGTGGCGGCATAGACTCTGGTATTTGCTGGTTTTCCTCTCTTCCCCATCCCCACCCCACCCAGGGTCTAGATTTGTGCCAATCGTCTTCCAACCTGTTCATGGAAGTAGGTGGAAGTGGTGGGAACATAGGAATTAGCTTTTTGGCAAATAGTAGGTTCATGGTCTTGACTGCAACAGAGATGGCCAGAGTCCCACACTATTGCCCATGTCTGCAACTGACAGCATTATTTCTCAGACTTGTCTGCTTCCGGTCTTACTGCAAGGTCCTCCTGAACATGCAAGCTGTCACAGCGTCCATGGTGACCCCCAGGGTCTTCTGAGAAGAAGTCTGGAGGGGAAGATCCTGTCGTACCCTAAAGAGTGGGAAGAAGCTTTCCAGTTTATCTGGTCCTGGGTTTCCCAGCCTCAGCGCTGCTTCTCCTTGGAGTCAGGTGATCCCAGGTTGTGAACATTTCTTGGTCCGCTGTCCTGTGCACTGTAGCATGTTCAGCCGCATCCTTGACCTCCACCCACTAGTGGCTGGTTTCTCCATCCCAGCTGTAACAGCCAGACATTGTCACGGGTTCCCTGGTGGAGAAATCTGGTTTAACCTACCTGTCTGTCCTCCTTGATGGCATCTTTGCCCTGTGCTCATCCAGCCTCCACTGCTCACAAGATTGCCCCTCCACACACTGGAGAACACGGACTTTAGAGCTCTTCCTGAATGTGTCTGAAGGTGTTGAACCTGAATGTGTCTGAAGGTGTTGAACCTGAATGTGTCTGAAGGTGATGAACCTGAATGTTCTGAAGGTGTTGAAGGTGAATGTGTCGTCCCCTCCCAACATGTAGGCCTTATCCTGCCCTTTGCGCTGATCCTCACCACGCCTCCCACCAAGTGTGTGCAGACACAGTCACGTCTATTCTCAGTTCTCCCTACCCTGGATACTCTGGGGCCCTTAGTCAGGCCTCAGATGGACTTTCTGCCTTCCCACCCTGCTGCTACCAGGTCGACCTCGACCCACCGTGTCCCTGTGCATGTCGGAGCAGAACGTGTGCTCCACGGGCTTCTCAAGGACTCATTTCACAGAAGCGAGTCACCAGGC